CTACAGGAATTTGTTTGCAAGCTCATCAGGGGCCACTAATTCGTAAGTTTTAACTCCATTCTCAAAGAATATGCTTTCTAAAGATTTCATTGTGCTGAATCACTTTGCTATCATGATCCTGACATTTTCTGGACCTTGTGTTGTATAGTATCAGAGGTGACATTTCATGCTTGGGAAGCGTCTCTAAATGTCAAAAAAGTAAGTTCAAATAATATATAATGTTTGGTTTTGATAAAAGTTCAGGGATTTTGTTTCTCATTTTGAGGTGAAAGTTGCAATCTTACTGTGAGAATCTAAATAAAAAAGGGGTTTCTGAGGAAAGTAATTGAGAGGGCTGTCCTTACTTAGCTTATGATAAAAGATTTAATTGTAGTATTTTAGTATGGTTGCACATATGCTTCATTCTTTGGAACATTCTTCCTTTGTTCCTAGGAAAGTTTCTCAATCATCCTTCAAAATCTTAAACCCATAAAGTTTAGCAGTACTTAACCAATTCCTTGTGATTTCATTTGCTCTTTATTCATCTTGAATAGGTAGTGAGCCATCATTTTTTTCGTTTCAGAAAGGTATTCTCTCTATATTAATTGTGGTGGAAGAGAAGTAACTGTCAAGGGAACCAAATATGAAGATGATAGGGATGAAGCAGGACCTTCGAGATTTGTTGAAGGAAGCAGCAATTGGGCAATCAGCAACACTGGTAACTTCTTGGATGATGACAAAAATCCAGACAATTTGATCGCTACAAACACATCTAAACTTTCTGTGAAAGATTCAGAACTGTACATGAATGCACGCCTTTCAGCCATCTCTTTAACTTATATTGGATTTTGTATGGAGGATGGAAACTACACAGCAAATCTCCATTTTGCGGAGATAATGTTCACTGATGATAAGACATACAACAGCTTGGGGAGGCGCATATTTGATATTTACATTCAGGTAGCTAAGATTGATTTAATTTCAGAAGCGTTACACTTTTGGAGTTTGATTGAAATGAGTGAAAGGGAAAGATCAACATAAACCTACATGGAATATTCAATAGCTGGAATACATGATCGTAGGGAAAGCTGGTCCAAAAGGATTTCAACATTGCAGCTGAAGCTGGTGGGGTTGGCAAGGTTATCATAAAACCATTTCCTGTGGTTGTGATCAATGGTACCTTGGAGATTCGTTTATATTGGGCTGGAAAAGGAACAACGGCCATTCCTGATAGAGGAGTTTATGGTCCTCTTATATCAGCTATATCTGTGAATCCTAGTAAGTTTTATAAATAATACTGCACATTTCTTCTTGTATCTGATTTTTTTTCTTACTGGCATTTAACTTGTTCAAGAGCTGTGCCTGTGTTTTTTATGCTTACATCATGCATTCAGTATACCTCATAGTCAAATTGCATTGCATGTTTTTACTTAAGATTTAGTGCAACTAAGTAGTATTATGATCTTGTTATCTTCATGATTTTCTTTGAGCAGATTTTACACCTCCTTCTGAGGGCGGTACTAGTCTATCTATAGGAATGGTGGTTGGAATTGTGGTTGGAGCAACATCTACTATTTTTCTTATCATCGGTATCCTTAGGTGGAAATGCTACAGAAGACAGAAAAACACATTAGAACAAGGTATCTCAGAGAAATTAACATTTAATTACATTATTGGCTTTTGGTGAACTTTTGGGATTGAAGATAGTTTAGTACTCACCTCATAAATAATTCTCTCATCTTTCTCCTCTTCTACAGATCTAAAAGGTATGAACTTGCAAACTGGTTCTTTTACTTTAAGGCAGCTAAAAGCCGCCACCAACAACTTTGATCCTGCTAATAAGATTGGAGAAGGTGGTTTTGGTCCTGTCTACAAGGTAACATATACTAAAATGTTTCCTTTAATCTTACAGAAAATTTGTCTAAATTAATCTCATAGTATTTCTCAAATGCAGGGTCATTTGATGGATGGTAAAGTTATTGCTGTCAAGCAGCTATCTGCTAAATCAAAACAAGGAAATCGTGAGTTTTTGAATGAAATTGGTATGATCTCTGCTTTGCAACATCCTCATCTAGTAAAGCTATATGGATGTTGTATTGAAGGAAATCAACTCTTGCTAATATACGAGTACATGGAGAACAACAGCCTTGCTCGTGCATTGTTTGGTGTGTTTCATTCATATTGTTTTCTTAATGCGCTTGTAGTATAAATATTTCCAAGAATGAATATACAGCAATGACATATCTACTCTTTTCTTTATTTGGTATTTCTTAGGCCCAGAAGAATGCCAAATGAAATTAGATTGGCCAACAAGACAAGAGATTTGCATTGGTATAGCAAGAGGTTTGACTTATCTCCATGAAGAATCAAGGTTGAAGATTGTGCACCGAGATATCAAAGCTACCAATGTATTGCTTGATAAGGATCTAAATCCTAAAATTTCTGACTTTGGTTTGGCCAAGCTTGATGATGAGGATAATACCCATATCAGTACTCGAGTTGCTGGAACTTTGTTAGTATCACTGCTTCCATTGCCCTAAATATTATTGGTGATATATATCCATTTCACATGTTGTTAAGTGTTAAGTGTTTGAATGCCACTGACATAGAATATACTGTATTATGTTTGCTCCCTTTACAGTGGCTATATGGCTCCTGAATATGCAATGCGGGGATACTTAACTGACAAAGCAGATGTTTATAGTTTTGGAATTGTGGCCTTAGAAATTGTTAGTGGAAGGAGAAACACATGTTCTCAGGCAAAGGAAGATAGTTTCTATCTTCTTGATTGGGTACAAACAACCTCACTCTTTGATTCTTTCTTCAATTTTAATATTCAATTTGTTGAAAATTGGACCACAAGAAAGCAATAAACTTTCTTGTTTCCTTGCAGGCTCTTCTTCTGAAGGAGAAAGGAAGCTTATTAGAGTTAGTTGACCCGAGACTGGGATTTGACTATAACAAAACGGAGGTAATGAAAATGATAAATGTGGCACTATTGTGCACTAACCCTGCTCCAGCCGCTAGGCCAGCCATGTCTTCCGTGGTGAGCATGCTTGAAGGGAAGGTTGCTGTTGTTGAGTTGGGTTTGGATTCTAGTATGTCTATTGAATCGATGAGGAAGTTATATCAGAATCTTGAAGAAAGAAATATTCATGAGAAGTCACATAGTATGTCAATGGAATCTTTGCCGTTTACCTCCTCTTCCTCATCCGCAGCTAACCTCTATCCACCGAGCTTGAACTCATCTTATTGGCAGAAGAGAGACTGCAAATCATCTTGATTTTGGCCATGAGAACATTTCTTAATTGGAAATTCTATAATTCTTATTCTAATTTTTCTTTTTGGAATTAGACTGTAAAAAGCCTCTAGAACAAATATTTGTTAAAGCAAGGTTGTGTTTTAAATTTTGGATCACTATTGTAATAGTTTTTACATGGTTAAAGAAATATGTATTTTTAATCTTAGATTTATTTATAAGTGTAGTGTTGTAGTTCAAATATGGGGTTAAGTCTTGGGGTGGAGATTAATTTCACCATGGATCAATCTTAATATATGTAAAAACTAATTCAAGACACTATGATAATAAATAAAAAAATATTTTATTTGAACTTTTGATCTAATACGATTTTATTTTTTTAATATATTATATGATGAGTTATGCAATAAGGAATATAACACTTCTTCTTCCTTAATTCTTCTAACCTTAATATATTTTAAGTTTAAACTTTAAGTTTAGTAAGTTTAAGCTCTTAAATCTATTACTCTGTTTTTATTAACAACTGTAATTTCTAACCATGTAAAGATTTTTTCCCATATATTTTGAAAAAGAAAAGTTTTCCTATAACTTTAATCATATTTGACTCACTTAATAACTTTACCAACTAATTTTTTTTATATCAATATCTTATAAAATACAATAAAATTAATAACCTAATAAAATTCTAACAAAACTTCATTATAAAATTTAACGACTTTCTCTATAACACTTTCTAACTTTTTATACAGTATTTTCTTAACTACTTTCGTAATATAAATTTATCTAGTAAAGTGACTCTCTAACTAAACCAAACAAGCCCTTAAAGGTAGGGAGAAGTGGGATTTCAGCATATCAGCGTTGTAGCTTGATCCTTAGTCAATGTCAAGACATTGGGTGCACCTGTAATTTAGCCTCTAAGCCCTGCTACTCCTCAATCTAATGAAGAATGCTAGGAGTAGTCTCTCTTGACACTTTATTTTGAATACTCTATGTGTGATTAGCTTACATAAAATATATATTTAATATGATTATTAATTAGTGATTGATATTAAAATTAATATTTTTAAAATTTAAAATTATAATTGATCACATTAAATTTATCTCTTATATATCTCATAGATGTGAAGAGTGTTAAAAAAACATTAGGGAGAGTTTCCTTAGCATTCCTCAAATCTAATACATGCCATTTGTGCTTGATTTTTTCCCTAAATCCAACTATTATTGCTTTAATTGGAGTTATAAACAGGTAGGTAAATGGGGAAAGGATGGGATGCCCTATGGTACGGGTACCCCCTGTGCAACTTATAATAGCAAAACACCCAACAAAAACCGCCAAAAAAACCCAAAATTTTTTTTTCTCTCTAATCGATGTTGGACTCCAGCCGGGCTAGCCCTCAGTCCCTACAAGATTGGCTCCAAAAGATTCAATTGTTAACATCTGATTTTTGCCCAGACAGCATCACCGCATACCATACACCACCAAATCATTCCTCTTGACATACGATACAAACAAATCCCTGCATTAACATCGCGCCCCAAACCCAAATACACATCATCCAAAGGTCAGATTCACTCGCGAGTTATTTTAGAGTCATAAATTTTCATGACTACATAATGGGATCAATATAAAGAAAAAGAAGAAGAAGAAGAAGAAGCTAGTTTCTTGCAATACGGTTGAAGTATATGGATATGCAAATAGAGTTGAAAGATGTACAAAAAATCTTACATTTATGAAAAATAAGATTACATGTTAAAATACAATATATTTATAATGTTTATAAACTTGATAGACATCATTTGAGCTCGGCTAAAGTAAGGCTATACATTTAAAATTGTCCAAAGAAAGAGGGTAACTCAAGTCACTCTCACGGTTTAAAAATCAAGGCGTATCAAACTCCTCTCTGTGGACCCATAAAAACTCACCCCATAAAGTATGTAAGAAAGCCATTAAAACTTCTGCCATTTATACAAGAAGCCAGGAAGAGAGCATTCACCCCACATCAATTCTCTCTGGATATCCTTCTCTTTCTTCTGAAAGAGATAATGGGTTCCAGCGACTTTCGTTGCAGTTACTCTGTTGCATCTTCAGTTCTGCTGCTCTTCGGTGTTGCTCTTCTTCCGCAAGCAAATGCAGGGGACTGCGACCTGTTCAGCGGAAGATGGGTTTTCGATTCCTCCTACCCTGTGTATTCTTCCTCGGAATGTCCCTTCATCGAGAGGGAGTTCAGTTGCAAGAACAATGGCCGGTCTGATTTGGTTTACACCAAATACAGATGGCAGCCTCTTGGCTGTGATTTAGCAAGGTACTGCCAATTTTCTCCCCTGTTTTTTCATTGAATATTTGCAGCTGTTTCTGTTTATCATTATTGTAACAAATAAAAAGTACAAATAAACTAGTAATAATAAAAAAAGGTTGGATGATCATTATTAATTTCTTTAATTAATTTCAGAAATATTAAAAAAGGTTGATCCGCCCTTTCTACCTACAAGAAGAGATGGGTTACTGAGGGGCTAAACTATTTTCCATTATTGTTTAAACCTACTAAAAACTAATTTTAGGTATTCTTTATTTTATAATTTAATCTACAAAATATGAATTATTAATGAGAAATACGCTTCTAATTGTTTTTTTTTTTTTCCCCTCAGAACAGTCACATGCTATGTTGCCTAAGATGTCATTGTCAAGATTAGTACCATTCCATCCACCGTCAGTGCAAGATGTTTGACTGACAGTCACATTATTGTGCTGCAGTTTTCTGAATATAGGTTGAAGAGTTTGTTTGAACTGTTGCATACAAGGCATGAGT